TTAATTTTCAAAAGTTCTGAAAAGCATTTTCAATTATTTGTTACATATACAATATTCTGTGTGTATGTCTGCATGCCAGAAGAGGGCACCAGACCTCAATACAGATGGCTGTGAGCCACCATGTGGTTGCCGGGAATTGAACTCAGGACATTTGGAAGAGCAGGCAGTACTCTTAACCACTGAGCCATCTCTCCAGTACTAGTAAGGCCTTTAAATAAAAGTTTTAGAATTATTTCCATTGTAAAACCTAAAACTAAGCAAACCAACTGGAACTCTTTCGAGGTAGCTAATACAGTGATGGCCTAAGAGACCTGAAGCACTCCTCTGGCTCAGTGGCCACCCAGAGTCTGACTGGCCTTTCTCCCGAGTGTGGCAATTCAATTCTAATTGTATGATCAAACCAACAAATTGAGCTGAAGAGACAAAAGTACCTAGCTGACAAAATCAGAGGTTGCATGAAAATGTTTCTCAAGTACAAGTCATGTAAGAAACAACAAGTGAAGTGAGAGAGGGTTTCAAAGCTTGAAAGACAGTCATCAATACTGACAGATTACTGTAATTCTGGTCGCTAGCATGATCGATTTGGGCAGCATATGACAATCAATACTGTCCTCATTTTCTGAACATTAGATTCATGGTTAGAGAAGATGCTCCTAGGATAGAATTTAAACTCCATTTAATGATCATAAATAGCACAATGTATGCTGTGGAATCTTAGTAGGTACTATTACTGGGCATGAGATAGCTGACCCAGCAGGGTAATTACAATTGAGTTTATCACATTCTACCTCTTCACTTCTTTGATGAGGATTAAAGTATTAGCTCTGGTGGCTTTCAAAACTGACTTCTATTTCAGTTCCTACTAACATTTATGTTAAGTGTATTGATATAATTCATGTTAAGTATATTTTAGAATACACAATTTTCTCCTCACTGAAAATCTGATGTCAAAAGCATACATTTTAAAATTTGACACATTTATGAAACCAGAATGTTCTTAAAATGAACAGATATCCCTATACTTAAATACCTGTAAATCAAGTATCCAGTTGTAATTTATTATATAACCCTTCATGCTAAAATCAAGTAAAGGCGTTACTTCCCACACATTCCTTCCTACTTCCATTCATTCATTCACGCTTCTGAGCTGGGGTCACTCGGGATGTGGTTTACATTCAATTCTTGATCTGAAGTGATTCTCCCAACCCCACACAATAGAATATTCTTTAGTTAACAAACAATAGGAATATATATTATTACATATTTCTCTTGGTATGTAAGGGTATTTTTCCCACCCAAGAACCACCATGGATAGCAAAAATCTGTAGACACTAAAGTTCCCATTGTATAATGGTAAAGTATTTGCATATAATCAAATTTCTGTATTACTTATAATAATAAATATTTAAGTACCATATCAGTAGTTGTTACACTATGCTGTTAAGGGGATAATGATAAGAAAAAAGTCATTTTTTCCTAAATATTTTTCACATAAAATTGGATGAATTTTTCAAATGAGGAACTCATGGATATGGAAGGCCAACTACTGTTGTGTGAATAAATAATTTTCTACACCTTAGAAAAAAATTGTTTGGTATACTATGTAATGTTTTCACATTACATTAAAATATTTTTAATTGTGTGTGTGAATGAGTACAGGTTCCTGAAGAGGCCAGAAGCACCAGAACCTTCTGGAGCTCAAATTACAGATGGTTGTGAGCTGAATGATGTGTGTGCTGGGAACCAAATAAGGTCCTTTGCAAAAGCAGTACACGATCTTAACTACTAAGCACCATTCTAAGTATTCTACAAGCGATTCTGTTGATAGGAACTGTTCACATTTGATGTTTTAAAAAAAGTTTTCATGCCTACCATTTGAGCAGAAATTATTTTTTTTCATTCTAGAATATTTTTGAATGTGGCAACCATTATCTCAATATGATAAAATACTGAAAATGTCATAAAGTAAAACTGAGAATTCACTTTAAGCAACTAATCAGCCTAATATAAAAGCTCAATTAAGCAACTCCTTAATCTTGGGTGGAGATGTTTTATATTGACTGTAATACTTATAAATAGTATAATTAATAACTACATAAAATCTGATTGAGCACTCATAATAATGCTGACATAATATTGGAATCCTTTTATAGATAAAGAAAGCGAGATTCAAGGGTACCGTAACTTGGACTGGGATTATGAATCAGTGGTAGAGTGACTGCCTAGTATGCTCAAGGCCTGGGTTTAATTCTAGATGCTGAAAAGAAGAGAAGGAAAAACAAAACAAAACCTGGTTCTGTAGCCTGACCAAGATCACGAGGTAATTATTGGTACTGAGTTCATTCCCTAGGCAAGTATGCCCGGGCTCAGGGAGGCTATCCAGCTCCAGATTGGCAGCACCTGATCAGACAGACTGGCTCCATACGTCATGTTCCTAAGCATTCCCCATCTTCTCACACCTGCATGTCTCCTCAGTATGCTGCACCCGGTTTAGAAGGTTCTCTTCCATCTGATTATTCATGGTTTAAGACTGGCTCAATCATTTTTCTAAGTGTTTCTGCACACAAACTTCCAGTTGAGTGGCAGGCCCCTTGTTAGTATACATCCTGCACACTCCTCTTTTAAAACACAGTAATGAAGAAATGTTTTTCCATGTAGACTGAATTCTTTTCAATGATTGTTTTGATTATTTCTGCACCTCCAGAGCAGCCCAGAGCATGATACATGATTCCATTTAACTAACTAGGTCAAAGATTAATATTTATTAAAAGTATGTAAGAAAACAAGCCATTCAAATACAACAACTACTCAGTCACTAGGGAGGAACTCTGCCACTTCAAGAAAGAGAAACGCTTGAGTCTTAACACATAAGATACCTTTACCTTTTGTAAAGCAGATGTACACCTGTGTTCTAACCACACAGTTAAGAAAGGATACAAGTTCTGATACAATGGAATCAGTGATTTCAGAGCACGGCTAGCATTTATTGCTGTGGATCGAACCATAATGGGCAGAACTTTTCCATTCACAATAGCACCATCAAAAAGTGGACCAAAGAAGGGAACCTGATGGAGAGATCAGAACACAACTTTAACTGTAGAAAGACTGGAGTAAAACAAACAAGATCTTTTGCACACAAATGTTTTTGCTTCCTCTTTGGTTGTTCTTTCAATTAAAAACATTCAAATTCAGTTCTTTACACGATGAATCACCCATACTAGGACAACAAACAAAATGCCCAAGGTCAACAGGGTGTCCATTCAAAAGAACTATGTACTTTGTGTAATTATGTAATTTATATCCTCTGCCAGTTTCTAAAGTTCTGTAATTTCAGCTATACACACACACACACACACACAAACACACACACAAATCAATTCTACTAAGTAAACATATGAAAAGACATACATTCTTAAAGGTAGGCAGTTAGATGATCATTTTTGTGAGATACCAGGTTTTTTTATCCTTATGGTTTGGACATTAAATGTCTTCCCCAAACTCATGCTGAATGCTTCGTTCCCAGGAACATGTTTAGAAGGGTAGCTCTGGGAAGAGACCGGGTCAGGAGAGCTTTGACCCAAAGGCACAGAAGCAAGAAGCCAGAAGACCATGGACTGAAACTATGAGACAAAATATATACATCTTTCCTCTTGTAACATGTTTTCCAAGATTTTGTCAGAGTGACACAAAGTAAGTATAGAACCTAAGACACACTTGGCTTGGTCAGTTAAAAAACAAAATCTGTGCTTTGATAACTAATGGTCACTTTTATTAGTTGACAATTTAGAACTGTGATGTCTATAGGTCAGTGGTAAAGTGCTAACCTAGCTGGGTGTAAGGCACAAAAAAACAAACTATTAAATATGGCTGACAAAAATGGTAGCTCAAGGCAAGACAATTCTCTGTGGATGACATAGTGTTTTAAACTTTGTGGCCATATGATATCTCACTTTTGTAAAATTTACATGTTTGTAAAAATGCTTGAAAAATATAAAAAACATCCTCAGTTTGTAGTATACTCAAAATTAGGTTGTGGCCTGTCATGAGCTGACTTCTGGTTTATATAAACCTTAAAAAATACTTGTCATTCAGAAAAATTTACAGATGGAAACTTGGCCCAATTCAAGAAATTCTGAAGATTCTGAATCAACTGTCAAAACAATTTTCTATTAAAAGCATTCATCTTAAAAAAAAGAACACATGAAAATAATGCCAAACTTTTATTATCTTAGAAAGAAATACTTGTGAAATAGCTGTTGAAATACTGTGGTACATCTAATATGTACATTAGATACGCAACTGGAGGATAGTCTCTTTAACATCTAAAAATATTTGCAGGCATTTCATTTATTATCTTAAAGTTACTTTTGGATAGAGGCTCATTAATAAGCAGCACAGACTAGCCTTGAACCTGTGGTGACTGGTTATCTTGCCTCTGCTCTGCTGGACTAAGCCTATACCTCACTAACAGATGGCTGCTCTTACTGTGCCTTTTGGGAACTGTAACTGTTTTCTGTGTCACTAAAGGGTGAGCTAAGCACAAAGGAACTTCCACCCAGGTGCCGCCCAGCCGTCTCCCTAGCTGGGTTGGTCTTTCTAACTAGGCTTAAGACAATCGACACAGCTACAGAGTCTGTGGCATTTCCCCCTATTTTCCAATTGAAAATCTATTACTAAGGCAGAAGCGGAGTTCTCACCTCTGGTTTTTTCATGATCTGGATACTGTACATATGGTTTTTCATTGGATATATAACAATGAGGACATCGCCAAATTCTGTAGGAATAATTCCTCTTCTGTAGTCTCTAGTATGTTCTGACCAAACAATGTGTACTTCATCATTTCCTAGGTGTCTCAACTGGAAAAAATAAGGAAACAGTTTATAGTATTTATAAAAGCTGTGTGAGCATAGTTACACAGCTAGCGACAACAGAGCATACTGAAGAGAAACAGTTGATCATTTTCATGACACTCAAAATACAAACACTCAAAGCCATCAAGAGGAAGACCAGGCACTCTCAATTCCCAGTCAACAAGACAGAAAGACCGCAGAGAAGAGACATAGCCCGTTTCAATTAGCAACTCTGCCAATGCAATTCCATGCTCAAGCCTCTCAGAGACTGTTTTAAAGAGCGACTGACTTAAGATTCTTCTCCCCTTCTATGCATTTCTGAAGTGCTAATGAGTAGCAAGGTGGTCTGAAGAAGGCAGTCAGGAGAGAAGCAAAACAATAGGTGACTGTGCATTTTATAATCCTTACTCAGCATGAGAAAGTTGGTCTAACAAATTAATTTCAGCATCTCCCCCCAATGTAACTTAGACACCCTCCAAACAGAGCCTGGATATTGATTAGGCCTGAAGAATGTTACTTAAGATACTTGTGCTGCTGACAAAGGTGCTCCTGGCAATCTTGAGAGGGTTTGTTATAATAATTAAAACTGTAAGAAAGAAAAGTATTAAAAGTTGTGTTTCTAGTGAGTCTATGTCTGGTAGATGCTTTCCCCTGGCTTTTCCAACACTGTCAGGTATCTAGCCACACTGGTTGGGAAAGTTTAGAAGACAAAAGAAGAATAAAGCCAGTCTGAGAAAATGTATGGTGATTTCTATTTTTATATATGCAATTGTTGGATTAAAAACCATACGACAGGTATAGAAGAATTTAATGTCTGACAAACAAAAAGAGGACTAAAGTTCAATTTCTGAAAGGATCTTTTCAGTTCCTCCTTAGCCCAGGAATTGACTACTTACACCTTTGTATACAAACAGGCATGACATAAATGCAGACTTAGACTATGCCATTTCTAAAAAGAAAAAAAAAAGAAAAAAGAAAAAGAGAAAAAGCAAAAAGAAAAAGATTACAGAGCCTAGAAAAGCTATGGCCCCATAATTTCATTTTTTAATCAAAATACTTTAAAAATATCCTTCCTATACACCCATCCCCATGTGTCAGCTTCCCTAATAGGTTTATGTTAACTGAATACAAAAGAAATGTGAAATAAATGTAACCAGGAGGGATGATCCAATCTAATTCTGATACATTAATGTCATATGCTGTACATGTTATAATAGCAGCCAGATCTAATACTAAGCTCCAGGCTATCCTGAGATTTCCAAATGGCAGATTGTTCTAAGTGATATCAAGTATAATTGAAGTAATAAATGATAGTAAAAGCTGAGCACACTGTCAGGAAGAATTTAAGTATTTACTTTTTAAAATTAAATGAGTTAGGTTAGGAAAGACAAGACAACTGAAATAATGCAGGTCTCAATTTACAGAAAATTCCTTTTATTTATCTGCTACATTAACCCTTGAACTCTTGCCAAAATTATCTATAATTTCTAGTGCCACTTATCTAAAGAAATAAGAGAACAAGGCACTGTACTATTATCTTTTAACCAAGGCCGTCTTCAAACATCTTCCACATAGTATTTAAAGGTCTGCTATAGAAGCTTAAAAAAAGCACTCTTTTTTTTTGGTCAAGGTGTTGTTGTTGTTGTTGTTGTTTTTTTGCATAGAAACATGTGCACCAACAAATCACTCTATATGTGTTTGATATTTAAAGGAAGAACTTTCATGAAAAATACTTTATTATTTAGATTTCAATGCTAAAAATATAGTTGTTTGAGGCTATATTACTGTCCTAATGATATCGTTAACTTTAAAACATGAAATATAATGGCTAAACTGAGATGTTAATCATCGCTATTCATTGGGAGTTTTCTGAGAGACTACTCAAAGACGGCTTTCTAGTGACCAAAAGGTGGCAGAATGCCAGCAATAAAAATAAGTTAGCAAACACATGTCTATATTGATGCAGAACTTTTTATACAATTTTATATTTATTTATTCCTTACCTCTTAAGGACTTAAAAGACTATATCCTGGGTATACTCAGTAAGTTTTTCTGTACTCTAAAATTTCTCAAAGGAGTGCCTATCTATTAGATATTCTCTCTCTTGTTTTTTGAAACAGGATTTCTCTGGGCAGCCCTGGCTGTCCTGGAACTCAATATACAGATGAGGCTGGCCTCAAACACAGAAATCCTGCCTCTGTCTCCTGAATATTTGTGCTAAAGGCATGTACCACCATATCCAGACTATCTGATTTTGAACCCATGTGCAAATCACTTTTTGAAAGAGCAGCAGACTGCTGTGTATATGGGATAGATCTTTCTGATGACTGGCAACCAAAGTATCCATCTAAATTCACTTTCAAGTGGTACTAACATCACTCTGGAACCTAAACTGTACTGTATGTTACAAATGACCAGCATTAATCCATGAAGAAAATACAATGAAAGTCAACATGTGTAAACTGAAGTCTTTTATCCATTATAGGATGTTAGTATTGGAAGATATCCTAAAGGAGTAATTTCACACCCAATACCTCAACTGTAATATCCCAAAGAGTAGATATCTGATCTCTGCTTTAAAACTTTTGAAGCTGGAGTGTAGTTGTTCACAATTAGCCCAGTCTGCCTTTAAGGAGTGAAAATTATAACACTCTTTACATGAAGCAAATGGGTCTTACCATATGAATCCAACATGTATTCTATCTTTTTATATCTTTTCAGGTATTTGAAGGCTATTTTAATATCTTCACCTTTTATCAGGTTAAAAGTGTCTTTTTGCTGGATTACTGTCTTAGTTTTCTGGAGATTCTATGAGACTGCAATGTCTGGAATTAATATCAAATATATGCTCTGATACAGTAAACTCTAATGGGACTATTTCTTCCTCTGTCACTAAATTATTTTCTGAAACATTAAGGCACCAAACAGCTAGCCAAAGTTCTTTTTTAAAAACTTTGCCAGGCGTAGTGACTCTGCTCTAGTCCCAGCACTCTGGCAGGCAGAGACGGGCGGATTTCTGAGTTCAAGGCCAGCTTGATCTACAATGCAAGTTCCAGGACAGTGAGGGCTACACAGGGCTACCCTGTCTCAACCTGTCTCAAAAATCTAAAATAATTCTTACAATTTCCAGATTAAAAAAAACATTTTGTGTGTGTGTGTGTGTGTGTGTGTGTGAGAGAGAGAGAGAGAGAGAGAGAGAGAGAGAGAGAGAGAGAGAGAGAGAGAACGAGCATATGTGTATGCACACATTCCAGTGTGTAAGTGTATAAGTCAGCTTTTTGGTGCTTGTTCTAGGGGACTGAACTTAGGTTGCCAGGCTTGGCAGCCAGCTCCTCCATCTACTGAAGCATCCTCAAAGTTTTTTAAGCAGGTAAAATCAATTGCTCCATTTAAAGAAAGGATTCCATATGTATTGTTACCATTTTACTTTGCCAAGCCTAGGTTATCTTGAAGCTTGCTAGGGTCTATTGTTAGCCTGATTCTGCTATTCAATGTGCTGGTTCATTCTTTTCTAGATCAGGGTTAACATTAAGTTAACATTCTTATGACTTCATTCAAGTTCTGAACATAAATATCAAATAGCTTACATAACAGAGTCATTGCAGGTTTTCCACTCTGCTTAAAAAGACGGCTTTCATTTATTGAGGGAATTTATTACATATTATTTATTAAGGGTACACTATTCTACATGTTCTATGATAATTCATTTCATTATCATGACAATTAAAAAACAAGTACAATCAGTATTACTACTATTTTTCCAGATAAACATTTGAAGTTTAAAGGATGAAGAAGTTTGGCTAAGATAAAAAAAAAAAAAGCTGTGAGAAAAACAATATTCAAACCCAGGCAATTTGGTTCTAGAAACCAAACTTGAAACACTTTGCAATATTTCCACCTGTTAAAGCATTTGTGTTCTAAATATGATTACACAACCAGTCATCACCATGCATACCAAACTATTATGACCATACTGCTTCAACTTACACACAACAATTACTTCACACAGTCTACGGTTGGTCCTGATCTAGTAATTCTATTAAAACAAATTCAGTTTTATGTGATTAGTTGTGTTGAACTTACCATGGCTCCTAGTGATCACCCCCTCATTATCTATACTCACAAGCCATCTGCTTAATAATCTTAGTTTGCTGTTGGAGTTGATGAGCGTTGGTATTTTCAGGGGCACGACCTGTTTTACACCCCTTTGTAAAATCAGATGTTTGCCACTGTTATAGATGTCTGCATGCTCATGCTAGCCTCCACTGGGATGGTATTAGGTAGGGACTTGGAGAGGTGATTACATCATTTTTAAAGGGGTTAGTGTCTATATATATATAAAAAAAGACTCAGAGAGCTTGCTTGCCACTTTTAACCTATGTGGTTACTGCGGGCAGCCCAGTCATCTGTGAACAGGTGAGTGGCTCCTCAACAGACACTGATATGCCAGTCTCCCGATCTTGCCAGCCCCTACCACTGTGAGGAGAAACTTGTATGTGGTCCAATCTCTGGCATTTTTTACAGTAGTATAAAAGAACTAAAACATCTACTTATGGCAATACAATACGTTCATTTTTATCAACAAAGAATCTGGAGCTAATGTTTTACTTCCTGAGTGCCATGAAATGGGGTTGGAGACTAGAAATCATGGAAGTTAACTATTTCTGCCTCATAAGTTAGACTATCCTCTCTCTCTCTCTCTCTAAAACAGGATTTCTCTGTGTAACAATCCTGCCTGTCCTGGATTTATTAAAATACAAATAATATATTTACTTATTTATAAGCAATATATGTATTTATTAAAATACAAATATTATATCACTATATTCCCATCTTTGTCTATGATAAAAAGGCTATAATACAAGAAAACTATATACAACAAGTACAATAACTATATACAATATGTACAGGCAATAAGTACATCAACAATGTTCAGTCCATTTGCATTTGACAAATTCAGAGAAAATACTTCACATCTATCCTATCCTGGGGAGTCCAAATTTTGG